GGTCTCCGTTTACCTAGCGTCCTTAGACATGGTAACTTGTTTTACAAGTAACTTTGAATCTTCTATACCAAGTTAATTAGGGTGTTTGTAAGTATAAATCCGGAATTATGTATATGAACAGGTGATGCTGGGGATTTTGGCGTCTGCAACGGGAACGGCGGGAGGAGTTGCGTACATAGCGTTGAAAGGAAACAAAGAAGTTGGGTGGAACAAGATTTGTAATGTCTACGACAAGTTTTGTCGTTACATCGCAACTTCGCTTGCCTTATCTCTCTTTGCTACACTTCTTCTTCTAGTTTTATCCATTTGCTCAGCTCTCTCCAAGAGAACTCCATGAACAAAACAAAAGCTCTAAATCCATCATCTCTCTGTACCGTGTATTTGTTCACACGTGTGTGTATGTCTTTGTGTCTGATTTGGTCTCTATTTTTTTATTTTTTAAAGACCTGATTTGGTTTGTTTCTTTTTTTTTTTTTTTGTGGTTTGTTTTGTAACTTTTGTTATGTTATATTTAATGTAAGCATGCGTTTCTAATAGAAACTTTCTATATAGTACGACGTATAGTTGAATTCGTGTATCTCTTGCCGTAATATGTAACTTCTTTATCGGAAATTAGGTTTTGATGTACAACAAATTAAGATTCCAGAAAACTCAATATTCAGAGATTTCTAAATATTTCAAAGAGATTCTGCTTTTTTTTTTTCTTTCCCAGTGACCTTTTTTTGACGTTTAATTCGTCGTCACGAAATTAAAAGTCCTCGTCATATTAAATGCGCGGGGAGAAAGAAAACGAAAATCATAATAAGCAGCTGCAAAAACTATCGCGTTCTAATTATTGTTCTTATATAAATGAAATCGAAATCCTCAAGAAAATCCATATTTGAAAAGAGTCCCTCGTCTTTCTGAATTCTGATTCAAATCTAAAATCAAGTTTCTTTCTTCTCAATCCATTGTTTTTACGATCTTTGGTTTTTTGTTGTTCTCAAATGGAAGTTTCGGTGATTGGAAATCCTCAGGGGAGGATCTGTAGAGTAGAATTAGCAGAGAGGGTCAATAGATTTTGCATTGGGTCTGAATGTTGGAGATACAATCCAAGTCCCACATCGGAAGTTTGATGGGACAATCAATAATATATAAAAGGTTAGGGCCAATCCACTAATTGCCAATTGGTTTTTAGTTGGAAGCCCAGAATTAGCCCAAATTTAACATGGTATCAGAGCCCAAGGTTCAAATTCTGGTGGACCTAGAAAAGTGGATACGGACATACCTCAAACCCGAATAATGGGGGCCCGAGAAAGGGGCTTATTATCGGTCCGAGTGAGGGATCGAGGAGGTGTGTTAAGATCCATGTGGTCATTGGATTGAAGGGGAGATTGTTGGAGATACAATCCAAGTCCCACATCGGAAGTTTGATGGGACAATCAATAATATATAAAAGGTTAGGGCCAATCCACTAATTGCCAATTGGTTTTTAGTTGGAAGCCCAGAATTAGCCCAAATTTAACACTGAATTCATCTCGATTAATGCAAGAACTCACGTTAGCTTCTATGGAGAAACCAGGAGGCGAAACGAGATCAACCTCTGTTTCTCGCAGTGCTCTATCATATGCGAAGCCGTCGTCTCTGATAAATCTCCGTTCTTGAAATCAACTCCAAGAAGAACTAGATCGGTAACATATTATGTTTTATTTAATTAACAATGCTTTTTCCACTTCTTTAGATTTAAAAAGAAAATTTTTTTGTTCCTAAATCTAAAAACTCTGTTTTCGTTACAGCTAGAGAGCGTAAGATTTTACGTTGCGCTTCCTTTGGATACAGTTTCAGACTGCAACACCGTAAACCACACCAAAGCAATCGCCGCGGGACTTAAAGCTCTGAAGCTTCTTGGAGTAGAAGGTGTTGATCTGCCAATCTTCTGGGGAGTGGCTGAGACAGAATCCCCTGGAAATAACCAGTGGTCAGGTTACTTAGCCATCGCAGAGATGGTAAAAAAAACGGGTTTTAAGCTTCACGTATCTCTCTGTTTCCATGGCTCGAAACAGCCAGG